TATTTGTTCTGACGGTTCTCCATCAGGTATTCAATTCTCTAAACCACCGGATTTCCCTTATGCTTTCTGTATAATTTTCTTCCATTTAAAGATCGGCAACATCTTCAAAACCATGATTTTTTTTGGGGTGATTTTTACTTCTTTTTCTCATGCTACTGGTTTGAAGTTACTTCACATGACAAACTCGTCCATCTATATTAACAAGGAAACCTGGTTCAAATGAAGCTTAAAATCGTGGGAAATGCCTTGCGTCCTTTCAACAAGCCTTTCAGCCAGTATGTGGAGACTTTCAAGGACTTGGGCATTGCTTTCCACAATTCCCTAGTCCTTGTGCAGCTTTACATTCTACCACGGTACTGTCTAGGCTCCACACATGGCCGTCGTAGACTGTTTAAAGATAGGGAATTTTCCAATAACAGACATGAACGGGAGTATTTCTTGTGCATGCTGGTTATTACAATGTCTGGCTATCAAGCGCCTTCGATGCAAGTTTATGAGTAACTAGAGCTCTGAGATTTTTAATTCTGTATTTATCACACCTGTAGTTGGAGTTACGTAGATGCAGTTTCTCATCCTTTTTAGTCTGCCTAAATTGATAGCCTTGATTTGAGTGAATTAACGATGGGATATCTGAGTTGAGATATATAGTATTTTTTTTTTAAGCTTGGAAGTCAAACTGGCGAGACGTCTTAGGATGTCATGATTCGTCCCATTTCTTTGGAATTCGTAACTCTTCAACTTTTGGTTTTGCTTTTAATTTCTTCTGGAACAGAAGGTGCTATGAAAACTAAAACGACATCAGTTCCCAGCTCATCCAAACCAAGGACTTCCACTTTGATGAAGCCTACAGCTAGTCATTTGGCCAAAGTAAACAAAGCAAGAGATTTACTTTCCAGCCACTTATGTAAAAGGTTTGCTTTCATTTAAAGAGAGCTGCACTATCTTGTTTCTAAGGCATTATTTGCAGTACTGAATGAATGAAGAAATAAAATTTAGATTATAAGGCTCATGTATTGTTATGGTTATTTCAGGCCCAAAATTTTCTCCGGCCACCTTTTTTTTTTTTTAACTTCCTTGTGCAGGTATATGCTTAATCATTTTCTGTACCTCCATTCTAGGTTTCAGAAATCACCCATCCACATAGACCAGAGAAGCTTGCAGAAATCTCCCGGTTTTGATAACCTAGCTACCAAACGACAAAAGCTCGAGATTGGCTACCTGTGCAAGGTGCTATATTAGATTTTGATATCTGTGCCATCATTACATTTTAAACGTCTATAAGGGCTTCAATGTATTCCTTCCCCCATCAATAATAAAAAGTTAAAAATAAAATTAAAAATTCCCGTTCGTCCTTGTTGGTACTCCAATCTTCTCCTGGTTATGAGACTTTAGTTAGGCATCTCTATATGTTTCTCATGCTGTTTGTCTTGAAGTCATAGTAAGAACCTGTGAGAACGTAGGTGAGGCCTACATTCTACAATGATCTAGGAGCACTCCTATTCATGATTTCTTTCGAACATTGTTTTGCTGTTTTATAAGAAAGAGGTATAGGACCAAGAATCAGTTTCTTGTCAAAACTTCAAATAATAAATTCCCTCATGAGTTTACCTCTCTTGAGGAGTTAAGTGATCTTGATGAGATTTCTAAATATAGAAACGTTGTACTTTGCATCATCCAATTGTTAAATTGCTGTGAGGAATGCTTCCAAGGTGTGCAACACAGCAGTAAAATTAACGCGTTCTGTACCATTAGTCCTGCTGGAAACGTTGGGTTGTTCTTTCTGTTCAAACAGCATTTTTCTGGAATTGAGAAAAGCTGCTCCCATCTGTTGTCATCAAATTCCCATTTTTGGATTGAGTATTTAACTTCTCCCTTTTGTATTTTAAACCAGGTATCACATTTGAAGCATCAAGCTTTGTTACTCCACAAGAAATCCCAAAAGGTTCCGTCTACAGTAGTAGAACTGTGTAACTGTTGTGTGTTGATCCGTGTTCATGAGACTAAACTAGTTTGAATGTTTACTTTTTCAGGAGGGAACTGTAACTCCTAAAATAGCACATTCTAAGATGAAGGTAACTGTTCCCAAAGAGCCTGAATTGCAAACACAGCAAAGGGCGATAAACCGAAGGTACTCTCAGTTTTCCTAGCAGAAGTTGGTTTTCGTCATTTTGTTTATTCAGCATCGAAAATAGGTTTTGATATATATAAATTTTTTTTCTGTTGTTTAATGCAGGTCAAGGACTAATTCTGAGTCAAGTGAGCATTCAGAATTGGAGATACAAACCTGTAGATCACGATCATTGAACAGAAAAGTTGGTACTTGAAATAACATAACATTTTTTCCCTTTTGAACCTGAATTTTCTGAAGATGCTTTTCGTGGGTAATATCACTAAAGATTTGTCTTACATGCTTGTCATATATTTTCAAGGCCCATACTGTAATCCAACCTAAGAAGAGCAAAGCGCAGCTACCTGTGTTTCAAGTAATACTTTCAAACACCATTAATGCGATATTCCTTTTTTTTTTAATATTCTTTTCAAACAGCATTAATAGATAATTTTATATCATTGTTCCTATCAAATAATGGTTTTGTAGGCTTTTAATTTGAAGACTACTCAGAGAGCCTTGCAGCGTTCATCTCGTAATGTAAGCCAATATCCTCCTTTCCCAGTTTTGGTGGCTTAAATTAATTTAAGTCACTTACAGCTTTTTGACATATGATCCAACAAGAAGAAGCATTTCCTATCACAAGCTGTGAACTATAATGCATAAGAGTGGTTTTTGGTACCCTTGACCACGATGTAGCTGTTGGTTGTCACCCTACAGATGGGTTTAAAATGCTTAGTCTCAATACAAGAAATACCTTAAGGGAAATTGTTCACATGACAGTAAGCTTGCTTCCTTTGTGATCTGTAATTTTGTCCAATACAGGAACTGAAGACACACAACTCTGATAGCATTTCACAAAGTATTCCTGCAGAGCTGAAGAGGTTTAAAAAGTTTCCAAATTTTTTTTTATCTTGATCTTGAATTGAGGAAAGCAAAGACGTCCTCTTTAGTCACTGTTGACTAACATCAGGTTGATTAATCCTTTTACTTCACAGAAGCTGCATTCCTGTTCACCCTACAGAAGTCAAGAAGACCGGCAAGAAGTACCTCTTAAATACCAACTCTGATGAACATTTATCTTGCTTTACTAGTGTGGCAATCCTGAGAGCTTGTGGACTGGTTCCTTCTTGATTAATAATTGCATTGGTGATCGTATCATGGATCACTTCACTATCATTATGCGCCTTGTTTATGATTGGAACCTGTAGTGTATTTTCTTAGGTGAGCTGTATTTTGCAGATCAGACCCTGATGATGCTTTGAAGAAGGAAAAACATGAAACACCACTCAAATTAAAAGTTTGGCCTATCAGTAATAAGGTTGTCCACAGACTTGACCGACCTGACCAAAATGCATGATTTTGTAAAGCTGGGAATAATGTTATAATGAAGTTATCTTTTGCAGATTTTTCCTACCAAAGACGATACTTTTGGGACTAGAAGTGGCAGTGAAGAAGCCATAACGGCAATGGTGTAAAATGACATCTTATTTTAGCTTTTTGATCTACATGGTTTCTATTTGGCATGCTTTTGGTTCCTCTTTCCATTATATGAAACTTATGAGTTAACTCTCAACAGGACCTGAAACTTCAGAAAGATCAAAGGCTTTCACACAATCCACCTACCGACTTATTTAACAAGGTAAATTATTAGTTAGATGTATAGTTATTTTGGTGTGTGAGCTTTCACAAATCAATGATTGCAAGAGAAGATTTTGGGCTTTACAATAGTAAGCAACATTTCTTTGGTATGCGTATATATGTGTCAACGTTTCTTTGACCTTATTTGCCAGCTTTCCCTGAGATCTGAACCGGGGAGTGATGCAGTATCTCAGCCTAATATTCACATGTCCAATAAGGTCAGTTTCGTGGATACTATGGCATGTCATTTCCATTCATTTTGATGATAATTATTTTGTCAAATATTCATCTTCTTCACGATACAGGGATCAAAGGAGAATGCCCCTGATTGTTTCCAACCTGAATTTAGAGTAAGCATGTTCCGAGGATAAGTAATTTTATTCCTCAATGTGTATATGTGTACATGTGTCAACCTGAACTTTGGTATGTGTAATTTAAAAATTATAAAATATTTCCTTGTTATCTACAGTGGTGTGGCGGCAAGCTAAATCAATTTGGGAGTGGCAAGGCAATTCCAGGAATGGTAAATGAGTCCAACATGAGCAGGTAGCTTTAAAGGTGTCTGATCAATTATTATTGTAACTACATATCAAGGCACCCTCAATGTATTAGACTACGTAATGCTCAGAATAAATCAATTTTGAGTGTGGAAATACTACAATTTCTGTTACAGACACAATCAATAATGTCGGTAAATGATGCATGCTTTCGTATGGTATGATCTCATGGAGCTATTTGAGTAATTAAAATTTAGGTTTCAAGTAACTTCTGATGAATTCCTGTATTCTTTGGTTGACTACCATGTAGTGCAAGTGCTTTCTGAATCGTTCCTAAGATGATGCTGGAAGCCTGCCAATCTCCTCCTATACGGGGAGGGAGAAGGAAGTTTGCGGAGGGGGGGGGCAGGGTCTGAGATAGGAAGCCACAAGACTGAAACTTCTCTGTTTTCAAGTCTCTAGAGAGGGAGCGATGAAGAGAGGAAAGAAGAATGGTGGGATTGTAAAAGTTCTAAAGATCTAATCCTTGAAGGCGTCATATGGAAATCACAAGGACAAACTCAACACTGAGTGATGTCTAGTGCGGTGTTCTGTGGTTACCAACACTCGGGGGATACTCTTTTGCAGGCCAAACTCAACAATTAGATCTCTTTTGTGATTTTCTTCTAGTATAAATTCTGTTTTCCTCGCTTTCGCATCCGTGTGAACTTCGTTTTCTTTCTCAATATGATCAAAGATTTGAGAACTTTTATACGCTAGCAAGTAGTAAATAAAAAGTTCTTATTTGCAAGATTCCTGCAGAAGGATCATATATCAATCTGCCAAAAGTACAACTGCGAATGCATTGAAATTATTCATGACCCATGAGGAACTCACAGTTCAAAAAGGTGCCCCAGTTTTCCAAGTTCAGCTGGAATTTGACCAATCAGAAGATTGTCATTCAGTTGCCTGCAGGAAAGCTCACTTAGAAGTTGAAGCATAACAAATGGATGTCCTCCAACACACCCCCAAAACAAAACAAAAACAAACAGATATAAATTCCTGAGATTCCTTGAGATACAAAACTAACAAGTAACTGAGGTTTGACATATTGCCCAGCTGTGGTGGAATCGGCCCTGTGAGCTTGTTCCCGTGAAGGTACCTGGCTCATCAAACATGTACTTTGAGCTTTAGGACTTGTAAATCATACTAAGTCCACAAGATTCACTTAGCCTAGAACTTACAGCTTTCCAGTGTATGATAGATTCCCAAGAATGGGAGGGATTGATCCAACTAGTTCATTGTCACTCAAATCCCTGAAAAGAGATGGTAAAACAAGAAATTAGAAAAAAAAAAAAAAAAAAAAAAGTTTTCCTTTCCAAAAGGTATTGAATGTGATGTTACAAAGTCAATTCACATGTACGACAAGCTTTATGTGCTGATTGATGTATATACTTACAACACAGCAAGGGCTTGCATCAAACCAATTACATCCGGAATCTTCCCGGTTAGCTTATTTCCCTGCAGAGACCTGTTGAAATGAGCCATAAGAAACATATGCCAATGTCAAAACTAAAGTCAACAATTGAAAGAGCTTAATACTAAGAGGATGTAGATGACAAGTACAAGTCACTGAACTGTCCAAGATATACGATTCATCACTAGAGTAAACCCTTCTCTTTCAAGCACAAGATATTCAACCAAGCAGCAGCAGAACTTACAAAGTAGCCACTTGTAGGAATCCAATATTGTAAGGGATCCCCCCAGTTATCTGATTATATGAGATATCTCTGAAACCATGAATAATGAATTTCAGCCAAAATGTCCACCAAGATACAAATTCTTCATAAAGTTTTCAAGAGAAGAAACCTACAAGATCTGAAAGCTTGTACAGTTACCAATGTTGTCTGGAATGGTTCCAGTCAAATTGTTACCCCTTACATCACTGAAACAACAGACAATATTTTGCTATCATGAAACCAGATGCACTTCAAAAGTAACACTTTTCAGAGACTAGTACATGGAGTATCTTGCAGGAGTACATACAAGTACCACAGGCCAGTTAATTGACACATATCAGGGGAGAGCGTTCCAATTAATGAGTTGTCGCGTAAACCACTGAGCAGAAGAGTCAAGTAAAAAAATTTTAGATACAGCAATTCCTCTCAATAGATGCTATGAAAAAGGAAAAGTGGTAGACCTACAGATACTGCAAAACTTCATTCCAGTAGATCAACCTAGGTATCTCACCAATAAGCTGGTTTCGCGCAAGATCACTGAAACCCATAATACCATTAGCTGGTAGTACTTAATATATATAATGGCTAGCCATGAAGTATAAATCACTTACTAAAATAATACTTCTTAAAAATGGTCATAACTGCTGAGCAAAAGCAAAGTTTACAAAACACTAATGGCTTAAAGGAAGCAGCACAATTCTTACAGAGTTTTCAGGTTTGGAATTTGTGTAAGAGTTGAGGGGATGGGACCTGTCAATTGATTGATCTTCAAGTTCCTGCATATAGTAGTTAATTAGGCTGATTCGGATAAGATCATTTCATGCAAAATGCACCACATAAATGATAAGAGGCACAAAAAACTCACAGTAACTCGAGCTTTTTGAGCCTTGAGACCGAGAAGGGTATATCCCCAGAAAGCAGATTATTAGATAAATCCCTGCAAGAATTGCAATGATCAGAGTCCTAGAAAAGCAGATCATAATATGAACATCTTGGAAGTTTACAGGCTACAATGCTTACAGAAGGATCAAAGAGATACAGTTGCCAATCTCATCAGGTATTTGACCAGTTAGCTTGTTTCCCTGTAGGTCCCTGCCAGCATTATATTAGAAAAATATGTTATGATTCAAGCTGGTATACCAAAAATAAAAACTAAGCCATCATAACCACAACAGTGGAACCATACAGAGATTGCAAGCCTCTCAAATCTCCAACGGCCATTGAAATTTCGCCACCCAAATCCAGGTTAGACAAATTCCTTCAATCAGAAACCACAAGCTACACGGTTAACACTGCCTGATAAAATGCTCCAAGCAAGAGACTACTAGAAAGAGGAAGAAACTCACAAAGCAACAACAGACATGGTAAGATTGCCACATATCACGCCTCTCCAAGTGCAGAAATCTTCATTATGAATATCATTCCAGTCCAGCAACACATTGGCTACGTTGCTGAATGATGCTTTAATGGACATTAAAGCTCTTCCTGCATGCACATTATTGATTAGCTTGCTTTACCTCATGAAGCTATCTTATACAATCAAAAGCAGATCCTTGTATAACACACAGTTGATGAACAATCACTAGACATGCAAGCAAGCGACGTCTTTATTAACAGAGGGAGAATACCTGAGTTTTAGGACTCAAGCAAGCAACGTCTTTTTTAATGTTACTTTTTCTGACTTGGACTAATTTTGTTATCAAAACCTTAACCTCATGGGAGGTTTGTCCAATTTTGCAAACATGAGGGGAGGCTAGACAAATTATCAAAAACTCCATGGGAGGTTTCTGAAATTATTTGTTATCAGGTCAGAAGAGTACTTTTAACAGCCGATCAGTTACAACGTTGCCTCCGCGACCCTGAACAGTTGCGCTGTTCAGGGCCAATGGTGCCAAAGGTCCAAATGGTTTACGAGATACAAAAGTTGAATACAGAAACGGAAACCAAAAGGCGGAAGATTTTTTTTTTTACCGGGATTTAAAAATCAATAACTCTGTAACAAAAAGGGTTTTGTACACTACTTTTTCTCAACATTAATCGAATACATTTACACTTCAGTTAGGAAAATGGAATTCTTTGAAATCCATTTTTGCATGATCTTCTCTTCTCTTCCCAAAGTTCCCTGCTGCTCCTGCATTCTTCCTTGCGAAAGTTCGTCCACCCTTCCCCCTCCAATCTGGCCAGCCCATCTCCTCTCCCCAGTCCATGCCCATGGTCGTGGAGTTGCAAGAGCTGGATCCCAAGTTGGCGTTGTTTGGAGGAGGTGGAGTACAATAATATTTTTGAGGTAAGAACCATGGTTGGGATGAATTTTTGTCGTGAACATTTTTCCCGTGAATCTTGTCGACTTTAGAATTCCCATTAAATCATCAAACATTTGTTCTAATCTTTAGTAAAAAGTACAATATTAGATAAATAACCCGTAAAGAAACAGCACAGAAAGAGAAGGAAGGCTGAAATTTTAACCAAAATGGAAGGCAGACTGAAATTTTAGAAGTTGTCGAGCTAGTGAAAAGGTCAAGGCCATTTCTTTTCTTTTCTTTTCTTTTTTCTCCATTTCTTTCTGGGAGTAATGGAAAATTTTAAACTACTTTATGGGACACTTTAACGGAACCTTTGTTATTCTTAACATAACAACAACAACAAAGAAAAGAACAAAATGCACAAATAAAGCACTGTAAAGGGAGAGATGGGGGGGGGGGCGCGTACTACTTGTAGCTTAGGGTGGAAAAAGGCATTCATCATAAGCTGTGATGGCTCAAATGATGAAACCAAAAAGTTTCGAATTTGTCACCACCCCAGAAAAAAGAAAAGAAAAAGAAAAAAGCAGCGGTGATATGTGATACCTTCATTGCTGAGGGCTGCTCCCGGGAGTGGCAGTAGAAGAAGCACATATACAGCTGAAGTTGCAACTTGGAGAAAAAGATGAAGCTTCATCTTCTATCTTTTCAGTTTCTTGACAATATTGCAAGACAATGGATGAAAGAAGCCAGTAAGCAGTAACGCCCACCCGAGTGGTGCGGAGAGAAACTTCAGATGCCGGAAAAGCAGCAGAAGAAGAGTCCAGTTGACTTGGTGGGGGCTGCTTCAGCCTAAGAGAAACGTTTCATCAACACTGACTGCTAAAGGAGTACCAAGGGACCAACAACATGAGAATTGTGTAGTAGTAACTGTTTCTCAATGATCCTCCGGAGGGATTATCCTGCAGCGTAGGATGTTTATAGCATACATAATGCAAGTGCTAGTACTAGTGCAGCACTGCATTATGTTTGTGAGTGTGCAGAAGAGAGAGATGGATATATTCTGCACAGAGAAGAGAGAGAGAGAGAGAGAGGGTTAGTATGTGTGTGGTTTTATTATGGCACAAAGGGGGGGCGGGGTGGCAGTGGAAGAGCAGGCGTTTGGCGTGAACTGTAAGGCATAGGGGTGAAGGACAAATTAAAGAGAGGCTGCTGGCTCTGTGTGACAGTGTGAGAGATAGTAGAGACAGTAGAGGGGAAGAGGTGCGTGTTTAATGCTTTCGCAGCCTTTGTTTTCCCATTTATGAAGACAGAGAACAAAATTAAAATCCACCCCACAAACAAAAATAATAATGCCAATTTCTCTTCTTGACTTCTTCGATTACTCGTAAAGTCTTCACACCATTTCTTTGTGAATAAATTTTATATATATTGTAAATATATATATTATTACAATTGAATAGATAATATATGAGTAAATTTTTTATATTTTAAATTTAAATTATATATATGTAATAAATATTTTATAATAATAATATATATATTAACAGTATATGTAAGATTATTTCTTTCTCAATTCTTTCTTGTTTGACAGCCTGCGCCTCTCTGTTTCTGTACGAGCTTGCAAGTGCTACCCACTTTCTAGCTACAAGCCTCTAAGTAAGTGTATTTGATGATAAAAAATCATTTTTTCCCTGTTATTGTTTCTTGCCCGTGTACAAAATTGTTCAAGTTTGGGCAACGATGGGTGTGTTTAGATATATAAAATATTTTAAATATTATTATTCTATTTGTATTATAAATATATTTTTAAATAAATCTTATATATATTATCATGATTTGATCAACGACATATGAGCAAAATTTGAATTCAAATTCAAATATTACGTATGTGTCATATATCTAATGATGATAGTATATATACTGACAATATATGTAAGATTAATCATATAGCTTTTTAATAATTTTTATTATCAATTATATTTTTATCTTACACGTGTTACATTGCAAAAATTTATTATAATAATTATTTCAAATAATTTCGATTGGTTATTACTTAAGTTTGTTTGGATTAGTGAGCTCTTGAATGAAATGCGAGCTTTTCATATACATATTTATAGTAATATACTCAATATATATATAATCTCAAATATACCTAATAAAAAATGAAAATAAAATACATCTTTTCATCTTTTTTTTTTCCACCCATCATTGCGAGTATTACCATTCCTCCTCCCCACCTCTCTACCCTCTTTCTATTTCATATAGAACTATATTTTTTTTTTGTTGCAAACGATAACATATATAGAACTATATTATTAGGTTTACCTTTTTGTCAACCTTGATGAATACATCGAGTTTGTTTGGACAGTAGATTAATTGTCAAAGTATATTTTGCTTATATCATCATTACAATTTTCAATACAATTTTTTTATCTTTCCAATTACTTTTTTATCTCACATATATTACATTACAAAAAATGCTACAGTAAAAATATCTTAAATAATTTACAACCGTTAACATTAACAATCAATTGTTTTGAAAGATATTATGATGGTGCAAAATTAAGGTTGATAATTGTGGTAAAAATTATATTTGCTTGATTTCTAAAGTGTAATTTCAAAGTTATGGATATTTAAAATGGAATATTCCATTTTAACGTTGAGTAGAGAAGTAATTATCAATCCTCAATCCACGTGGACATGATCATATTAGAAGTATTTTTGAAATCAATCACTAACTTATACACTTACTCCTATTTCTGTTCTAACTTATCTAATGTAGGGCCAATAATTGAACCCCCGCCCCAGGGCGTGGGGGGGGGATTGGAACTGAGATGATGACATTAAGCCTCGGTTTGAAATGTGACTGTTGGTCATTATCTATAAATTAAGAAAAGCAAAAGGAAAATGCATTCTTTTGATTTTGTACCATTCATGAAATCCAAATTATGGATACCATTCATGAAATCTAAATTATGAAATCACTAAATAAAAAACAAAGTATTACTAGCCTTTTAATGCGATTTTTTTTTAAATATTCATTTTTGATAAAAAAATAATGATAATAACAATACCAATTCTACCAAAATTTTTTAAAAAAGTAATACTATAATTTAAAAGAAATATATAGAACATTCAACCCTAAAATACAACTTAATTTGTATACATTTGGCCCAAATTTGACATTAGAATTGAATAAGAGAGCAAAACCCAAACACTAAGGATAACTTTTGGTATCATTAATTATTTTATGTATTCTTATAGCTGTCTTCATATGTAATTATGTATTTGCTATGTTAATATATATATATATATATATATATTGATGGTAGTACTTGAGGATATTATAAATATTATCAGTTTTTCATTTCCACTTTTAGATACTAATAATTGCAACCATTATAATTATCAATTATATTTTTATCTTACACTAGTTACGTTGCAAAAATTTATTATAATAATTATTTCAAATAATCTCGATTGGTTATTACTTAAGTTTGTTTGGATTAGTGAGCTCTTAAATGAAATGCGAGCTTTTCATATACATATTTATAGTAATATACTCAATATATATATAATCTCAAATATACCTAATAAAAAATGAAAATAAAATACATCTTTTCATCTTTTTTTTTTTTCCACCCATCACTGCGAGTATTACCATTCCTCCTCCCCACCTCTCTACCCTCTTTCTATTTCATATAGAACTATTTTTTTTTTGTTGCAAACGATAATATATATAGAACTATATTATTAGGTTTACCTTTTTGTCAACCTTGATGAATACATCGAGTTTGTTTGGACAGTAGATTAATTGTCAAAGTATATTTTACTTATATCATCATTACAATTTTCAATACAGTTTTTTTATCTTTCCAATTATTTTTTTATCTCACATATATTACATTACAAAAAATGCTACAGTAAAAATATCTTAAATAATTTACAACCGTTAACATTAACAATCAATTGTTTTGAAAGATATTATGATGGTGCAAAATTAAGGTTGATAATTGTGGTAAAAATTATATTTGCTTGATTTCTAAAGTGTAATTTCAAAGTTATGGATATTTAAAATGGAATATCCCATTTTAACGTTGAGTAGAGAAGTAATTATCAATCCTCAATCCACGTGGACATGATCATATTAGAAGTATTTTTGAAATCAATCACTAACTTATACATTTACTCCTATTTCTGTTCTAACTTATCTAATGTAGGGCCAATAATTGAACCCCCAGGGCCCGGGGTGGGGGGGAGGATTGGAACTGAGATGATGACATTAAGCCTCGGTTTGAAATGTGACTGTTGGTCATTATCTATAAATTAAGAAAAGCAAAAGGAAAATGCATTCTTTTGATTTTGTACGACCACAAAATACATGCATCAATACTCACGAAGATTGTGACTCGTGAGTATGGGAAAAGAACAGGAATCCTACGACGCTAGTACGGCGGCACAGGGGTAGGGGTAGTACACTACTGTAGTTGTAGGTGGCAGAGAAACGGCGGTGAAGCGACGTTGGATATGCGACTGTTGGTGATTGGAGGCTGGTCAATTACTGCCAAAAGTGGTGGCTGCGGCCGTCAACACCGGCCCCCCCTCCACTTTCCCTGAGCTCCCTCCACTTTTGACAGCTACCCTTCCTTTTCTCTGCGAAACGTATGCAATGTATCCACGTTGCACGTAGTCATGCGCATGGGAGGGTGCCTTGATCGGACGGGTCAGCAGTTACTACACGCGCCGTGCTGTCAATTGGTATTGCGACAGTCGGGGGAGTGGTGGGTGGTGAAGAGAAGGACGTGCTTGAGCAAAGATTGGTCCAAGAAATCAGAGATTGGTCTTGGTCGAGAGGGGAGGCTATTGAATGCCAGAGTTTTAACAGTCTCGTGAAAGGTAAGTTTGGCTTTTTATTGGTCCGGTAAAAAGTAGTAGTACTTAAAAAGCACGACAGCAAAGTGCAAAACAGAACTGGTGGTATGGATGGATAGGCATACTAGGTTAAAGACAAATTGGGCTCAATGCTTTTTATTCTTTGCCCTCAAGCAACTATCACCCTTTTTAACGTATAGTAATATTATTATTTTGTGTTTTCTTTTGAGTATTGGAAGTGTGGAATGCTGCATGGTCGCGCAGTAAAATCCTCTGCAGGGTTGCACCAATATGGGTGGAATTGATTTTCAAAAATCTGTTTTGCTTGGAAGGGAAAAATTTTCAATAATATCTTGCGCGGTCTCTCACATGTAAAGATTGCAATTTTCACCCGATGATGGTAAAAGCAGAAGGAAATTTGATAAGGAGATTCGAGCGAGGAGAAGTCATTAATGTACGTACGCGCTGTGTTTGTCGTTGGATGCCAAAAATTAACTGATGGATCATGTTGCGTTGTTCTGATCTGCCCTCACATTATTATTCTTTTTCAAAAGGTTTGTTTGTGGCTTGTTCCGTACCGTCCACAATCGCGGATGATGACTTGTAGCAGACCTGTCCTGGCTGACTTGCTTTAAATAAATGAAGTGGATTAATTCCGAGTAACAAATTCTTTTTCCTTGACACTCCATCGGGTTCACGACGGACAACATATTTTACCCCGTCCCGTCTATTTTAATTATTTTTCTAATTATATATATATATATCTCAAATTATTAGAGTATATTTTTTTTAATAAAAAAAACTCTTAAAATAGCAATTCACTCGGTATAGACGCCCGCGATCTCAAAATAACAATAATATATATGGTCTCATTTATTGTGTGGAAGAATTTGACAAGTAATGGAATGCCCACAGGGCAGCGATCAGTCGCTACAACCAGCGTTAGCGTCCAGCTCTGTTGATGGTTTGATGACATCTTTTCACTGTTGATTTATGATTGGGGTTTGTTTGCTTTCTGGACTTCATCTGAATGTCAAAGGAGATGCCGGGAAGAGTGCACGCAGAAGATCCATGTTCAGAGATCTTCCCGCAGGCCAACCACATTTTTTTTTTTTTTTTTTTTGGGCAGAGAGATTCCTCTCCTAAACGCCAAAAAAGCGGCGCAATCTGAGGAATCCAACAAGCTAAACCCCATTGACTAGACTAACCTGAGAGTAAAAAAGTAGGAAAGCTTTTGTACGTTCTACAGTGGTGTTTTGGTACTTTCAGCCTTGTGGTGGGTGATACTCTTATCGATTGAAGCCAAACCGTCCAATGAAACATCATCCATGCTCTGCACAACCAGCGTTAAATCCGCTCAGTGCTAGC